CGCGCCCATGAACTCTGTGTCCGGGCTCTGTGGTCTGTGGCCGGGCTTTGTGTCCGGCTCTATGCTGTTTGGGGTCTATGCTGGTATATATATATATATTTTTTTTTTTTTTTTCGTTTTGTGGGTGAATGGCGATTGGTTGAATTGTGTGAAGGCTTCTTGCCTAGGAGGTTGTTGGGCAGCACCCTTTGGGTACAAGGCAGAGGCATTCGATCGGCCGCCTTGGAAAGAGAGAGAGAGAGAGATAGTGCGATTGACTCTGAAATCAGGAGTTCACAATGTTTTTAAGACCACAGAGCTTCGATGAGACCATGGCACGGAACGTGCGTCCTTTTAGTCACAGGCATCAACCATCATTTGCCACGGCTTGGAGAAACATCTAAAAGCCGTGCCAAATTCCATCCATCTGCTTTAGTTAGAGGAACATCTAGCCGTGCGTCCTTTGAGTCCATCTAAAGCCGCCTTGGTCGCTTGGTCTCCAGGCGACACCTTGAAGCCGTTCCTGCCGCAGCTCCAGACGACCTACGTGAAGTGTCTCTCGGACCCACCCAACTCCGAGGACCGGCCGGTGCGTGGTCGACCCGGTCGGTCCAAGGCGTTAGGGCGATCCTGAAGCATGGAACAATGACACACACACACCCAAAAAATCCCCAAAAATTAGGTGCTGTAGTTGTTGGAAACCCACGACATTCTAGAGTCATCGACCTGCTTAGAATCAACCGAAAAAGGTGCTCAGAAGCTGACAGGGTCCATTTCGGGGGGACAGTTGCGGGAGTCAGATGAGGGATGCGTCGGGCTATGTCAGGAGGTGCGGGAGAAGGCAGCAGAGTCGCTGGGCATGTTGGTGAGAAGGCTGGGAGAAAACATGGCACGACATGCATGTCGAAAGGGAGGGGTTGCTTTCACTGAAGTTTGTAGTGCCCAATATTTATATCCAAAGTGGCAGGGAAGGGGTATGTCTCTCCTATTTGCGGTGGTCCAACCCCCCCAAACAAAAAGGCCAACCCCCCCCCCCAAAAAAAAAAACAGAGGCCCCAATCATCGCGCGTTTGGCTGAAGAGGCTGAAGTAATTTCCTACAGACGTACGCTTTTCTCTGGCGAAACATCACCGATCGCCACCGCCCACTTCTTCGGCGGGTGCCAGGGCGCCCAGAACCGAGCCGCTGATCAATGAGCTGGGCACTCAGCGCCAACCTCCATGTACTAAATGCAGCTGCGCCAAGTGATGGTGGTCAAAATGGGATGAGGATCAGAGGGTCCAAGTATAGGGTGAGAGGTTTTTCTCGCGCCATCTACTTGTTATGTTCAAACTCCTGGCGGTTCAAGTCGAACAGCTAGACCGTTGGGCTTCCGTTCCGTGCCCTTCACGGCCGAGGCTTTGCACTGGAGTGTCCAATCAGGTGGACCCCGCGGCGCGTTTGGCCATGGGCCACGCGCTAGGAGAGGCAGGGTCTTGGTCATGCGAATCGAGTCCGATACGCCCGAGATGCGTTACTGTAGCATGCTGTAGCTGGTTTTTGGAAGATGGTGCCATGTTAGTGAGGAGGGAAGTGACTGGGATAGCATACGCAGATGTTGCCGCAATATTAACTGAGACAAGTGACTCAGACACAGGGCGTAAAACAGGGCAGAACAGACACCTGATTACCATCTATATATAAATATTTGTTTGTCATTGATTGTCGGTATGAGGTCTTCAACCAGAACCATGACTCATGACTTTGCTTTAGCCTGAGACTGGTGGTTTTGTCGCCATGACCTCAAGTTCCCCTTTCCCCAAGGCTGAACGATCCTTTGCTTTTCAACACGCCCATCGCAGGTCCTATTGAACTTGCCACAAGCAACGAGTGAAACCGCACAGGCAGCTGCCTCGATCGGGGTTGTTTCAGCGAGGTGGGAGAGAGGTCAAGAAGTGGTCGATGTACAAGTCGAGTCGAGACACCATGGTGTATTTTTTTCGGCCGCTTGTAAACTGAAGGCCTTCCCATGGCTTTGATTACTCGATGATTCGATGCCAAAAGTGCAGTTCATTTCGCTGACCACGTCCAGCACTTTTCAAATCGAGATGAATTCAAATCATATGGATCACAGGTGCGGGTGCAGATTCCACGCAGAATACGTCGAGAAATCTCCGCTGACATCATCCATAGCAGAATTTCTTCAGGCAACCAACTATACTGTAACCAGCTTGCCAGCTTGTGTCAACCTCGAATCCAATACAATAGCGAAGAGCATGACCGCTCTTTTTTACGTACTGTTTCGCGGCTTTGTATCACAGGCGTTGGAATGTTGTGGCTATCCCTATCAACTTTCAAGGTTGTTTTTGCTGAAGTTCCGTCAACCCATTCCATTATTCTGAGTTGTTGTGGAAGCCACTTGCTAAAATTTGTTTGGCACGTTTCCCAGGAACAACCAGCAAATATTCAGCAGCTTACTTAGGAGCTTCCATTCAACTGGTCGGCCCACCTGCAAACGCCTGCACTGCTCACTGCTGCATCCTTGCTACCTGCAGTTCTGGCGCAGTTTCTGGCGCCTGCCATGGACGCTTGGAGTCGGAGTCCTGCATGCCATCGCCCGTGAGCGACACGGTTGGTGGCGGGCCTCCACCTGCTCGGCCTTCAACTTGCGTAACTGGTCGAGAATAGAGCCAGAGAGAGAGAGAGAGAGAGAAGGGAGAGTTCATGAACAACATGTTGTTCTTGTAGCATGCATTTGTTTGGCTGGTCACCTGCACCCGTGCTTTCACGAAGGACTAAAATCTGTTGGTGTTGGTTTGTTGAGGTGTTTGAGCATACAGAGTCGTTGGAAGGAGCTGCTGTTTCTTTTGCAAGTCAGGCGTCCGTGATCGCAGAGTCCGTGAGGCGTTTGGACGCCACAGAAGAGCAACGGACTTCCCGTTCTAGGAGCCGCACACGCGTTCCCGCTCGGCGTCCGACAAGGCTCACATTGCAGGTCTCAGGCTCCTGCAATGAGTTCGAGTCGAAGCGGACTCATGGTACATACATCATGGGCGGCCAAGCCTATCACCGGAACTACTTTTTCCATAAGGATGAGCCTCCGGAGTGTTTCATTTACTATTACTCGGACAGACACACATCATCCTGGTGTGGCTGGTGGATTGGCCCTATTCTGGGCAGCAGAGAAGTATGGGCCTGCAATCCCGACGTGAACGTGGAAAATCCTTCATTACCACCAACTTTGGACTGGCGTGTGGGCCCTGATCCTCATGGTTTTGTGAGCTTTCAAAGTCCAGTGGATGTTGGACTCAGGAGAAGGGCTGGTGTGTTCGGCATGTTCTGCAAGTTGCAATGTCATTTGCAGTCGAATCCTCATACATCTCTTGAGGCATTGATGTTGGGACATTGGTGCGAAGGAAAGTTGTTCAGAACAACACGCCTAAACCATGGTAGACCGTAGTGATCATGCATATCAAACTTGCCGAGCTCCTAAGCTTTTTGCACATGTACCTGGACTAATGTGACCCCACGATTCCTCTTTTGGCATTCCTAGGATCATGTTTGGAATCCTGTCTTCCCACCCGAGCAGCTGTTCGACCATGGCAGTCAGAGTTTGTGGTCTCTTGTGGAAGGCAGATTTGGCTTTGTCTCATGATGAGGGCACCAGGAAAGCCCCAAGAAGAAATGAGAAGGGACATGGTCATACACATTCATACACTTAATAACATTGAGGTTCGCTGAATCCTTTTGCTGAGACGAGCCCATGTGGAACCTGTTGGTCAAGGCTAACTCCACCAAGCCTTTCAACAGGCCATGCCCCCGAAAGGATATAAGTGCTTTGGGGTTGGTAACGCAGTACGTAAGACGTAAGGTAGACAAGACTAAATAATTGTATATACATGTTCTATTTCTACGAACGCGGGCAGCCATTTGCCAACCAGGACATGGCAACTACCTGGTGGCCCTCAAGCAGGTCGAAGCATTGGAAGAGCAAGTGTTCAACCACAGCCAGGCGTTGTCCAAGGAACAGGCAAAGCGGTACCATGCTGAGAGACAGCTTCAAGAGCTGTTAGAAGTGCAAAATGACCTGGCTGCACGCTTGGCCGAAGAGGAACAAGAGAAGCACTGGGTGGACCAGGCGTTGTGCTCTATAGAGGCAAACTGGAAAAGGGCTGAAAGGCTTGGCCGCAGAGGAACAAGAGAATAACAGGGTGAACCAGGCATTGCTCTTTGTAGAGTCAAAGTGGAAAGGGAGTGAAAGCATGCTTGAGGAGATTTCTGCACGCTTGGCCGAAGAGAAATGGGAGAAGCGCAAGTTTGTGCAGGCTTTCTCCAGGGAAGAGGCAAAGCGGCACAGTGCTGAGAGACAGCTTCAAGAGCTGCTAGAAATGCAAAATGACCTGGCCGCACGCTTGGCTGAAGAGAAACGAGAGAACCACAGGTTTGACCAGGCATTGTCCAAGGAAGAGGCGAAGCGAAACAGTGCTGAAAGACACCTTCAAGAGCTGCTGGCAGTGCGAAAACACCTCACTGCACGCTTGGCTGAGCAGAAACGTATTTCCCGGGTAGGTCACGGTGCAGTTTGGCAATACGAGGAGGGTGGATGTTGGCATGCTTTGCCACCCGAAGGGAATGATGAGATGCAAGAAGCTTACTTGAATTGCCTGCGAAAGCCCACCTGTGGGTTTTCAATCACTATCAATTCTGCTGGCGTATCTCGCCGTGTTGATTTTGGGCTGATGCAGCAAAAACGATGCGACACCAACAAAATTGGCAGGATTTGAATTCTGCCTGGAGTGCCAGAGCAGTGGGTCACCACCCCTGCTTGTTTGCTGCAAGAAACTGATCAGTTGGAATCCTATTATGTTGAAATCACGGAGAGGCATATGCACAACAAAGTGCATGACATCCCACGATTAACTGGTCACGGGAAGGACAACTCGCAAATTTGTTCTTGTATGAGAACTGCGAAAGTGAAATCAGTGCACCGCATTGAAAACTGGAGGCTGTGGCAAGGATACAAGTCAAGGCGAGAGGCTTTGCGGAAGGAACATGGAAGTTACAATGTTTCCGTCACACCCACAACTTTAGATCTCGATGCGTTTGACTCGGGCCAGGTCATGACAAGCAACCAAAGTGTGTTTGACTGCGGCGAGCCTCTAGCAGGTGACGTCGATGAGAAGATTCTTTTGCACGGCACCAGTTGGGATAATGCTAATTCGATTGTGCTAAATGGTTTTGACCATCGCACAAGCGGACGTGGCATGTACGGTGATGGAGTCTATTTTGCCTCCGCTGCTTGCAAATCCCACCAGTACACATGCCCAGATCACAAACTAGCCTGCGGCTGCAAGCGAAAGGACTTTGATCCTTGCCCGTGTAGCACTGGGTGACGCTTATCACAGCAAGGAGACCCGAAAAAAGGAACGGAGGCCACCGGTGAGATGCAGCACGTCGGGGGTGACTTACGACTCCGTGGTCGTCAACCCAGGTCCAACCCAGGGCCATCACAGTACACTGCAGATTCACCAAGAGTTTGTGATTTGTGACAGGGATCAGGCATATCCATGCTATGTGGTGCAATATGAGTTGTGACCCTTTCGTGCCTTCTGCGACCTCTTCGAGTCAGAAACATGTGCGGCGCGGGCTACGGGTGCCACTCGCTTGGTCGAAGCCAGCTAATGAAGAGTGCCAAGGATCCGATAAGATTCCCCTGTCCTCTCTAGAACGCAGTCCTCGAACAAAAACCACCCAAATCATGCATCTTATGGCCAGCATGGAGAAGACAGCGCCCCCAAAACATTCGCCAAACTCGACCGCCAAAGAAAAAACACACATTAGCACCCAGCATCAGCTATACATAGCTACACCATGTACCCGGGTTCTCAACTGATCCACCGCGCAGAACCGGCTATCCGATCGCCGCTCTCGCAGGGGAAGATCTTGGCCGCCTTGACGGCACAGAACTTTGACCTGGACTCGCCCAGAGAGTGTGAGGCTAGGGGAGGGACAGGGGGGGGGGCTCTTGGGTGGTCCCACCGCCAGGCCAAGAGCAGGGGGGCCCAGATCCAAGAAGGGGCCCATTTGTCTCTGGGAGTTGATTGCGAAGCCGCAGGCAGAGCTGAGGCTTTGTAAGGAAGGTCCATCCACCGAAGCTGATTCTGTTGGGAGGTGGGAGCCAGAGATGCCAGGCTTTGGATGTTCAAACCAAACCGCTCGGTACAGCCGACTCGGGCCTTTCGCCAGGTGATTGGCTGGGCCTTGGGGATGTTGCTCCGGCGGCACCTGCCTACCGAGAAGGCCGTGGAGGTTTTCAACGAGCAGGTGGCCACGCGGGACGGGCGGACGGGGCGGAGGTGTTGGCACCTTGGGGTGGTCCAGTGTGTTGAAGGATGAAGAAGGCGAGCTAGCAGTCAAGCATGTGCGATGTTTGGCCAAGTGATGCAGAATGGGCATGATGGGGTGGGAAGAGTTTTTCTATGATGGATTGTTCCTGGCATCACGGCAATATGGAGATTCTCAAAATTTATCAGATGTCATCGCTACTAGGAGCACAGACTCTACTAGGGGCTCCTGGCCTTACTACTAGGAGCAAGGACGCTACTAGGAGCAAAGGGCATCGCTACGAACGGAGCAAAGGCACTACCAAGGGGGCTGTTCGGTAAACGGCAGCGTGGGTCCGGGTTTCGGGGCCAAAATCCGGTGCAGAGCTGAGCAGTCGAACGACTCGTAAACGGACGATGGTCCGCCAAAAGGAACTCATGGGCTGCAATGTGATTGGAGAGTTGATTCACTTCATTCTATCACATTTGGGATGTTGATCTATTTTGAGGGGTTCTAACCCCTTTGTCCATCATAGAACGGCTATTATATTATCAAGTTTAACTGTGTTAGTGTTATCCCTATTCTTGGGGCCATGCTTGGGTTTACCCCAAAACAGGTCCACGCGAATCCCGAAGCTGCTTGGCGCGGCAGGTGAAGCCGCTGCTGAGTTCTGGGTCTAAGCGCTGCATTGGAGCTTTTGCCTTGGCAGGCGTTGTTCACCCTGTCCGCAGGTGTCTTTTTGATTGGGATGGTCTCAAAAAGAAGTGTTTCTGTCAGGTTGCAGATGCACCATCCCGGAGAAGGAGTAGATTGATATACTCCCCCTCCAACAATTAAGACAATCATGGAAGTGGACCATGACCCCATTGGAAGACTATGTTCCTTAGCCAAGAGGGGTTTGTCCACTTCCATGATTGTTGCAGGGAGGGCATATGATCAACAGATGTCAAAAGCATGTCCATTTTACCGAGCATCCTGGCTGTTCATGTGGACTTCTTTTGGGATTTGCGTGCCCACAAAGGCACCAGGACGGGCAAGACCGGTGAGGTTGCACTTCATCACATCCGGGCCCGGTGCAATGACAACGCTTCCTGTGCTGGGCGTGTGTGAGAATTGATTTGGGGGCCGAAATAGTTTCTCAGCGGGTTTCTCACAAAGTGTCTGATATTTCTGCTCGCTGGAATGTTGTCGACAATGAAAAGCTGCGTGGCATGCAGCCAGCTCTTCACGATGAGGCTTTTCAACCACTGAATTTTGCCCAATGAACGTGAACGCTAGGCCCTGTAGGCTCTTCAAAGACTTCAAAGCAGACCCAGTTGAGGACCCAGTTGAACCGGTTCATATCTCGACATGAAGCTCGTACAAAGATGCGAATCAAACTAATTTCATCTTATATTTCAGTTCTGTTTTTCAAAAACAATCAAGAGCCCTATCCGCAATGGAGACAGCAAAATTGCTATGAGTCCATGCAGAAGTTCACTGCACCTCAGGTCTGACTCCATCAATTCACTGACTGAAACCGTCGGTGTTTCCACACCGGTCACCACCTTCGCTCGCTCGAGGCATTTGCTGGTGCCAGCAGCCCTTCCTCGCGGAGCCTGCCGCGGACGAGCTGCTGAGTCTCGCAGCCCGGGGGCCCGGTGACGGACACGTGAGGAAACCAGAGGAAATGGTGCGAGTGCAGAGCGAGAAAGAGCCCGTCGACACGGTGTTTTTAAAATGCCGATCAAGGTGAGACCCCGGGTCAACCATCCCAATGGATGTAAATATATACCATAATAATACCATGACATGGAGTGTTTGGGCAATGTTGTACATAATATCAAGTGGTTTATGGAGTTCCCCACCTCAGTGCAGAAGAGGAGGCTTGTGGATGAGGCTTTTGGGTGTGTTTTTCTTCGAGCCGGTCGCTTGGGGAGCGGGAATGTCATGGCCCATCACCACTCTGGAAGAGAATCTTCCAAAAAGAGGATGAAAAGAAAGGACGCCCAGAATCCTTGTAGAACAGTGCAGTGCAGAATCCTTGTAGGAGACAAAGACGCCGGTTGGGACCCTGCAGGAGCGTACCCATCCGCACGGCTGGTAACAGGAGGTCGGTCTGGTGTGGAACTGGGGATGTGCAGTGCTTCGCAGCACTTCAGTACCATGGTTCTTGGATGCACTGAGTCTCCAAGACATCCAAGACCATGCCTCCACCTGGTTTCTGGAATGCCATGGTATACATCCAAGACACGCCCTCACTGGATGAACTACCCGTCCTCCCGTTCTGGGACGAGGACGAGGCCGCCATGGGTCTTTTGCCGCAGTTGCTGAAGGAGAGCCAAACCGAGGCAGGACCGGTCGTTTTGTTCCCAGTCGCAGCCGTGCTGTCATGCTTGGCTTGTTCGGGGTGAGAAGCCGTCCATTTTTGTTCAGTTTCTGTTCCTCCTCAGGTTTGGTATGACTGGACCCTCATGGCACCCACCCCAGACCCACCTTCTCAGAAGGTACGACTGGAGCCCTAGGGTGTATAGGTATTGGATGTTCGCAAGAACTCCATATGCAAGAGGGATAGATTGTTTGAGATGGGAAAGATGTGGGGCGTGCGTGGTGCATGTTGCTCGTCTCTCCGACGAAGGGCATGTTGGGGTGACTGATGTGTAGATTTTGTTCATGAACCTGTTGAACAGAACCACTTGGCGGACCACTCTATCGTTTGATTTCACATTCATGCGCGAATCGCGATCTCATGCCTTGGCAACCAAGCTGCCGCCTGCACAAAGTATGTAGATTGTGGAGTGGCAACCAAGGGGTTGATCCACTTCTCTAACCTCCTGAGGTTTTGGAGAGGCCCGGCCCAAAAACATGTTCAGAAACTTGTCCATCTCGCCCACGAGGTGCAAAGCGCGGGCCTGGCGTTAGCCGCAAGCATGGCGAAGCTCCACACCAGGTCACTTGGCCACGCGCGGTGGTTGTTGGACCATGGAAAGGACCTCATATATCCATCCAGGTGGGTGCAGAAGTTCCATGGGATTTCTTGGGGCAGTTGAAATATTGCTGAAAAAATATGTTTTTCTAGATCTGTCGCCTGGAGCGATGTGTCCGACAAGCGCAAAGGCAGGGCCTTTTCGCAGAAATGCATCATGTTCCTCCCAGGAGCCACGGAAGGTTGCAAGCAAGCAAGCAAGCAAGCAAGCAAGCATACACGAAACGGGAAAAGAATAAAGCAAGGAACAGACTGGTTGGTTCTTTCTTTTGATTTGTTTCCTTATGACGTTCGGGAGCCAGCTATTTATAACACCGGAACGTCCAACGCATCTGACATGAGAGTTGATCCAACTCATAATCTTGAAGTAGACTTTGGCAAACATTCTCATATGCTATTACCCCAGACACTCCATGTATGCCATATATGCCGATCAGTTGGGGTGATTTGAGGGGTCAATGGGGCGGCAGTCCTATATGTAAGTCCCATGGCTCG